TATTAAAGATTATCCTTATATGTAATATTATCATGCATATTAAAATTAGATTTATACACAAACATATCTGTATTAAAATTAGAGTTATTATAGAGTAAAGTTGTATCATTATATGTTGAATTTGTGATTGTCATGTAAGTAATCATATTAGGATTATTATTATTAGAGGTAATGAAAATGTATATGTTTGTTAAATATTAAATATATTTGACATAATTTTATTTGTTTACATATTTGTTTTTATGTTTGATTTATAAAAGTATTATTTTTATTAATATTATTATTATAGTAACTCTAGTAGTATTATTGTTTAGGTTAGAAGAAAAAAAAGGAAATTCTTTGTGATAATTATTGTTAGAAAAGTCTATTTCTTCATTATCAGCAATACTAAAGATATCTTATTATAATGATAGTATTATTAATAATGTCTTTGGTTTCTTTAATAGCAAAATTATTTGCATTAATTTATGTATAGTTAGTGTATTGATACATGTTATTTATTCTAAAAAAATTTATTATATTCAAAGTTAAATTTTTTGATAAACTAAAATATTTCTAATATTTGTCTAAGTATTTTGTTATGATCATGTTTCTTCAATAAGATATTAAGTAATATGAGTGATAAGCTGTAAAAAAATTTTTGTATTTTTAGCAAAAATATTGCTATAAAATTTTAAAATGTTAGAAAACATTATATTAAAAATTATAAAAGTATTTATTTATTAGTATATTTAATAAAAAATTATTTTTAAAGTTTTTTAATATTTTTGAAAGAAGTGATTAGGAAAAAATTCAAGAAGAAATATGTGAAATTAAATAGTAATTATTTTATAAGAATTAGAATGATAATGATTGAGATTATATATTTTTGTTTCTTTAGATTTTTTATATAAGAAAAGTCATATGATATGATATTATTTTGACCATTACGACTTTATTTTGATTTTAATCTCTAAAGTTGAAACATTTTAACTTTTGAATTTTATTTCAATTTCATATATAATTAGAAATATAAAGAAAAAAACTAAATAAATGTATAAGTTTTTATTTTATTTTTATCTATTACTAGATATATATATTCATTTAAAAGATCACTTTTTATATTACTATTTAAATTATCTCTTAATGCTTTTTTCTCTTCCATTTATGTTAATTTTCTTTTAATAATATTTTTTTCATTCTTTCAATTCTTATTTTTAATATTTAAAAATAATAATATTATTTTCATTACTATTTTTATCATTTTCAAAATTTTCAAAATCCATTTTATCAATATTTGAATTTAAAAATTGTAATTGATGTTATTATAAATCTTTTTCCTTTATTGAAAAATTAATAAACATATTAAGTTGATACATTACTAATAGTTTATTATTTTATTAATATTAATAATAAAAAATAAATTTATTAATAATAAATAAAAAATAATTAAACAATAAAAATATTAATTAATTAAATAAAAAACATTGATTAATAATACAGTAATTAACAAATAAAAATCTTATCATTAATTAAATTAATTAAAAATTCAAAAGTATTTATAAATTAAATAAAATTTAAATCCTGTTAATTAATATATAAAAAAATTAAAAAGTCTATTAATTAATAAATAAAAATTTATAAATAAACCCATTAATTAATAAATTAAAAATTCATTAATAAAATAAATTAAAAATCTAAAGCATTCATTTATTAATTAAATTTAAAATCTATTAACAGTTAATCAATAAATAAAAACCTATTAATTAAATAAATTAAACAAGCTTATTAATAAAATAAATAAATTCCAAAGCATTAATTAATTAAATAAATTAACCAATTTGTTAATAAATAAATAAAAAAATTCCAAAGCATTTATTAATTAATTAAATTTAAAAACCCATTAATAAATTAATTAAATAAATTAAACAACTCATTAATCAATAAATAAAAATCCATTAATTAAATAAATTAAATAAAACATTTAATAAAATAAATAAAATCTAAAGTATTTATTAATTAATTAAATTAAAATCCATTAATCAATCAATAAATAAATCCATTAATTAAATAAATTAAACAACCTATTAATCAATAAATAAAAATCCTATTAATTAAATTAGACAGCTTATTAATAAATAAATAAATTAAAAATCCTATTAATAAAATAAATTAAAACCTCAAAGCATTCATTAACTAATTAAATTAAAATATTCATTAATCAATTAATAAATAAAATTAACATTAATAAAAAAATAAATAAATCAAGATAGGAAGAAAACTTTAAAAAATTTAAATTTTATTTTATAAGTTAAATATGATAAATAAGTTCAAATTTAACATTAATTCAAAAAAATTTTTTAGAGTTTCCTCCTTTTTTACTGCAAAGCTTTCATATTCATTCAACTGAAGTATATTTATGTATATATTTTAAAATTCTTAATACAATTGAAACCAATTTTTTATAATTACCTTCTACATAAAACCAAAATTTAAAGATATCATTTTTAAATTGATCAAAAGTTTTATTATTTAATGATTTAATTTTTTGATAAAAATCTTTAAATTTTAATAATAATCATAAAGATTTTTTTTTAAATTATGCTTTATAATAATATGTCAAATAGCATTTCAAATAATTATATGACAAATTATTATATTCAGAATTAAAATATATAAGCTGATATTTTAGATAAAGTATAAAAAAAGTAATAATAATAGTTCTTCTCGTAGTTTCATTTTTTTTTTAATTGATTAGTCATATAATTACTTAAATTTGAATTTGAAAATTTTTTCAAAAATGAATAAAATAATCAAGAGCATAAAGTATTTTAAAAATACCTATCATTATCAAGAAGTATTTAATAAATCAAATAAAATTCACTAGTATTTGCTAAATTAATTAGTGAATGTTCATAATAAATTACTAAATTCTATAAAATAAAATAATTAATTATTATTTTAAAATTAAATAATAATTTTAAATAAAAAATTTTATATTAATTTGTAAAGCTTGTTTAGATTAAATAAGACTTTTAAAATAAAAATAGTGATTATTTTTCTAGAAAATATAATTGAATAATATTTATTATAAAGTTTTTTTTGAATATTTCATAACTTATTGATAAAATAACTGTTATTTGCACTCTTAAAATAGGTAGCAATATTAATTACTTTATTGAATGCAGTTTTTAAAATTAATGATTCTTTAAAAAATATTACCAATTACTAACTAATATTAATATGTAAAATATAGAAAAAAGATAATTTCTGAATAATATATTTGTAAATATCAACTATTATTAATATATAAATAAAAATATTAAATTTTTAAGATTAAATAATATATTATTATTAATTTTATTTATTACTTACCATACTCCAGCATAAGCTGATACACTATCTGATACTATTGTATTAAGTTTAATACTTATTAATTTCTTGAATCAAATCTTTTATCTTTAATATTACTTTAATTAAATGTTTATGTTTATTACTAATATTTGAAGCTTCTCATATTAAAATTTCACTAATAATGTTAAAAATAATAATCTAATAATACATTAATTTAAAATATTCTTCCATGTATTAAATGCTAATACAATTCCAATTTTATTATTTTTTAATTTTTTATCTCTTAATACATTTAAATCTTAAGTTTCTCTATGTAATATATAATAGATAAAGCCTTTTTTTAGTAAAATAAAAAGAAGAGAATTTAAAAATTCAAAAATTCTATAATTGCTGGATGTTTAATCTACTAAATAAACTACTAATATCCTTAATAAAAGATGTTCAAATTTCGGTATTTCTTTTTAATAGGTTCATGAATAAGACTGCTTTCAATCTTATTATTATTTTTTTGTTTTAACTGAATAAAGATTACATGTAGATGATGTTGATATTGAAGCAAATAACCTTACTAAAGTTATTTCTTCTATTAATTTAAAATTTAAATCTATGAAATAATTTTGCATAGATTTTAAATATTTTAAACCTTTTTTATTATTCTTATCAGAATCATTAATAATTTTTTAACATTTATATCTTCTGCTTTTTCAGCTTTTCTTTCATTATCTGTTAAATTTATTATATAATCAAATTCTTTTATATTTTCTTAAAAATATAAATAATTTTTTAAATAATTTTTAAAATGGGATTTTTTATTAGTAAATATATTTTTTAAAACTTCTTTATGGTCTAATTTTTCAATACAATCAATTCATGCTTGCATAAGTAATATATGAATTTAGAATTTTTATATATTTGATAAGATGATGAATTCTAGATTTTTTCATTTTTTATTTTTTAAAAAAAAAAATTGGTGAAAAAAAAAAATTAAATTACAATAAATTTAGTATTGGAAAGTATTGGAAGCTTTTAAGAACATTTACTATAAAATTTCAAATCATGCGTTGCGACTGAACATGTTCATATTTTATTACTAATCTATATTTTAATAAATTTTATTTCGATTTAATATATAGTAAACCAATAGAGTCAATTCCACTGGTGTATACATAATACAACAATGCATATTAAATATTGCGTAAAGTAAATTAACTGTGAGATGGATTCATTTACTTGTGTTTTATAGGAATAATTAAAACAAATTGTTATTTCTATAGAAAAATAACCATTGAGGAAAGCTCTCCACCTGCATCGAACCAATATTTACTACAAGTTCTGCAATAGTGAAGTTACTATGTAGAATACGTTGATAATTTTCCTCACCATATTAAATCTCTAGGCGTTGCTTTTAATAAAGCAATTCTTTATCATGTTAATAACCATATAATAATTTATACTCAAATTGCTAGACTATATACTTGACTGAAATGATTCCTATTGGATTTTCAGTTCACTATACATATTTTTCTTGGCAAAAGTTTATACATTGATACAATTGTGTGACCCATATATAAATTTTTTCCATTTTCATTTTATTTGTTTATTTGTAAGAATTATTTAAATACATATTTAACATAACAGTTACAAAATAACTATCTGAACTCACGCCGTCATTCTAGGAGGTAACTTGAGTCATCCCCTGATAACAGGTTGTGTTCTTCTGCAACACCTAACAATTTTTTAAATTCATACTCTTTCTTCAAATCAAGTCTATCAATTTCTTTTTTCGCGTATTCCAAAAGCTGTGTGGCATCCATGTAACCCTAAAATGACAGATAAAGATGATTGTTTATATGATAGAGCACCTTTTATGGAAGCAGCAGAAAATATAAATAAAATTACAGTACATTGAAAGCTCTTTCGAGGGCAATGGAAGCAGCATCCCTGACTCCTTGAGGCATTTTTTCATTGGTGATTGTATTCATCATGGAATTAGCAGCTACAAAGACCTTACCATTTTGTTCGATAATATTGTTCACAGTCTGCATATAGGTGAGAATAAGTTCTTTTCCGACTTGAAATTTTGCTAACTTCATTTCAGTAAATAGTTCAGAGATTTTGTGCTGGTGCTCCATGTCCAACTTCCTCTCTTCAAGTATTAAACTTTTCTCCATCTCTTTGATTTTCATTTCAGTATTCGCAGTGTTGGATTCATGTTCAAGCTTCATCCTCTCTCTTTCAATCTCAAGTTTAGCCATTGCAGCTTCTTTAATCGATTTTGCAAAAGCTTGACCCATAGCTACATGAAGATAATTATTTAATCATCTAATCATAAAAATCCTACTTGTCAGAATAAACTTTATAAAAAAAATTCGTATGACTATTGGGTAAACAGTAGGTAATAATATTTATTATATGTGTAGGTAGAATACAAAATGATACCAAAGTATTTTTATTTTGTTAGCTTCTCAAGTTTTTATATAAAATTGATTATTGGATTGCATAACAACATTACAATAAAATAAGTGTGGGTAGTGGTGGCAAATTATGAAGTCATTTACTATTATTTTAAATGATCTTAATCATTTTGACTTGAATTTATAATAAAAATAAGGTCATTTTGAGATCATTTTTGGGTTATTTCTAGGTTATTTCAAGGGTCATTTGCTAACACTGCCTCATATTTTGATAGTACGAAATAACGCCCGATCATAATAATAAAATATTTGCATTTTTCTCTAATCAAATGTACTTTCAAAAAATAAACCAAAAGGCGTCCTAGATTCACGAGCTACTTTAATTATAAAAATTTTTTATATACATTTTTCTGTCTATTATTATAAAAAAAAATTTACATATAAAAATTGAAATTTTTAAACCCGTATAGACACTGTTCAAATTATTTCAAATTTTATTACATTTAAATGTATTTTTTTTAAAAAAAATATTACAATAAAAATTTTTTTATATACATTTTACTATTTCACTTTGTGACGTGACTGTACTACCAAAGAAAAAAAATAAAATTTTGGTATATACTATAATTAAAAAAAATAATTGGCAATTTTGTTTTAAAAAAATAAACCCTAAAGTAATATAAATAAAACTTTTATTTTACCTCTCCCAATTTTTTTAATAAAATTTGATTATACATATATTAAAAAAAAAATTCAAGCTGCCAAATTTTAAGAATTTGAATTAAAATTTATAAAATTTATATAAATTTGAATTATATTATAATTTAATTAAGCAATTTATAATTCTAATCAATTTACATGTATATATTGCTTTATTGTAAACAATATGTTAAATTACATTAAAATTTAAAGTTATATTAAAAGTTAGCGTTAGGGATAAAACTTCGAACTGGTCAGTCCAATATCAACTCAATTCAGATTTTTTATTGAAAAAAATCTGAATCAAATGGATTTAATCTGAAAATTTCAGATTAATTCAAAGTTTTTTCTTCATTGAAAATTAGTTTATCTGAATTTTCAAAACAATTAAAAAGTTGAATCAGAAATTTCAAAGCAACTTTTCTATAATATTGATTAGTAAAAGTTGTATCTAAACTTTTAGAATGATTAAAATAATTAGTAAAAGTCAATCTAAATTTTTAGAGTATTTTTTTTTACTAATAAAATTGTGTCTAACTTTCAAAATGATTTTTTTTTAGAAATATATTAATAAAAATTACTTTTGAACTTTTAGAGCAACTAAATAATCAGTAATATCATATGGGATATGAGCTAAGAAAATGAAGTTCTGAGACTTTTTAACTAAAGTTAAAATATTTACTTTATATTAATATTAAACACATAAGCTTGAACAGTATGTAAATCTGAACTGAAAGTAATATGCATAGCGTACACATTTTTGTAATGTCATATGTGCACAAAAAATTTTCAATGTGTACTAAAATTTTCTAAAAATAGTATGAGCATAATATGAGTACTATAAAATAATTGGAAAAGTATGCAAAAATATACATAGATAAAATTTAATTGCATTAAATGTGTATAATACCAAAACTATAGTATTATTTATGAAAATCCAAAATTAATTACAAATAGATAACTACTAATTACATATAACTATCTTTGATTAAATCTAGGAACTTTACTCCAAAAATATATGCTTTATCATAATCGTAATTACTAAAATCTTGAGGACTATTTAATGAAAAAAGTAAATGAAGATTTAACGTTTGAATTGACGTAATTTATTATTAATTAAGTTTTGGTGTGAAAATACACATTTAATAACTCCATTTGATATCAGAATTACTAAACTAGTTCAATAAGTTTTGTTATATTAGGAAACTGATCATGAAAATTAATAATATTATTAAAAATACGATATCATGCTTTAATAAAAAAAGTCTTTGTAATCACAAATAATATTGCAAAACATTTTCCATTCTTTGATTAGAATACCTTTATCTAATACAGCTTCATACATAATATTACTTTCATTTTTTTTAGTTTTTCCATAAAATTCTACCAATGTTTTAATCTCAGTTTTTTCATAAGTACCTAATTCATCACGATTAATAGGAGTCTTATTTGATCTAAGATTTTCATTGAATAATATAAAGGAGAATCTGGAAATCTATTTCTTAAACTTTTAATAGTTGCTTTATGCAAATTGTTTAATAATAACTATAAAATAAATAAAATAAAATTTATTAATTATATAATTATTATTAAAATCAAAATCAAATTTAACTTACTTGGTAAATCATTATTAGATAAATTACATTTATTTATATAATTTGCTAAATGAGTATCATAATGTGATGTAAAAAATTTATTTCTAATAAAATCTGATGTTATAGATTTAATTAATATTGATAATTGTTAATGGGTTTCAGCTAAAGATATATAATTTGATTAAAAAACTAAAATCATTGATTTCATTGTTGAAAGAATATCAGCTAAAAATTTTGTAAAGATATAAAATTCATTAGTTAATGATTTATGTAAAAAGTTTGCTATTAGACTTGCATATTTTTGTTGAACTAATGCCAAATGAATATTATCAAGAATTTGATAGAAATTATGAATTACTGTTGCTCAAGAAAACCACCTTGTATCAATAATATTTAAAATAGCTAAATCAGAATTTTTGCTATTTTCTTGTATTGATTTTAGTTTATACATTTGCTTATAAGAGTTGAAAAAAAATATATAGATTGATTTGATGATTTTCTTATAATCATTAAAATAAGAAATTTCTTTAGCAGCATCTTCAGCTGCTAAATGCAATCAATGTGATTTAATGATAAATAAGATTTTATTTTTTAACAAAACAGCCAGTCCATTTTTAATACCTATAAATAATTTATTAATAATTAGTATATTATAATTAATAATTAATAAAAATTTTTTGAATAATACAAACCTGCTATATTTGATGCTCTATCGCTTCTGAAATGATATAATTTATTTACAAGTAATCCATTTTGTAAAATAAATGAATCAATAATGTTAAGTAATAATTCTGCGAAAGTATCAAAAATAGCAATAATTCCTAATAGCATAGAGTTAGAATATTATTAACTATATATTTTGAAACTAATATCTTTTCACCTGTTGATACTATGTTACTTTCATCTACTAATAAACTCCAACAAGATGATAATTGTATTTCATTAATAACTGCTTCTTCTATAGATTGTACTAAAGATTTTAATAATTTATGTATGCTAACTTTATTTGTATAAGTTGCATAATTAGATCTAGATGTTTGTGTGATTTTTTGTTGATGTGATAAAGTTGGTGATCAAAGGATTTGCAAAGGAGTATCACTAACTAAAGAGACAGAATTTTCTTTTTGATAGCTAACTAAATTGGCTAAATCTGGGTAATTATTAATGAAAACATTTTTTGACGAAAGAAAGTAAATGTTATATATTTGAGTGAATACATTTTATGCTTTTATTCCCAATATTTGATTTACATCCTCCTTAATACTAGTTTGGCTTGGATCAAGAATTTTCAAGGAATTTTGATGTTCAGTTGAATTTCGTATCTTTTAACATATTCCGATTTCATAGTATTGGAGCTTATTGTTGTCCATAAGCTATTGCCATTTGTCTTTTGGCAAATAGTACAAAACATATAATTTTTATTATTAGTAATTTGATGTTCAAATCATAGTCTTCCTATTTTTCATGCTTCTTTAAAAGTTAAATTTTCTTTTTAAATGATCTGGATTTTTATTTTTCTTAATTTGTTTTTGTGAATTATATTTTTTACATGATCTTGAGAATTACGTTGAGAAGAATATGTTAAATTGGATTGTGAAGAAATTGGAGAGGTAGCTCCAGTTAAGTCGATAAGTATAAAAATTTTTTGTTATATTTTGAGATATTTATTAGTATTAGTAGTAGTAGTAATAGTTGATATGATTATGGTGTTTACAGTTTATTTTTAATACTGGGTTTAGAACTAGGAATATTTTTTTGCGATTTTACTAATTATTTCATTAAAACTATTATTAAAGTAATACTAAATTAAAAATTAACAAAAACTAATTATTATTCATTAAAGTTATTAAAATTAATAGCTGATTTAAAAAGAATTAGTTGGTATGAAAAGTATAACATGGAAAAATGAGCAAAATTATTAATGTATGAAAAAAAATATGCACAAAAATTGCATAATATGTGTACTTTCTTGTATTATTATACACAAAATATGCAAAAATAAATTTTTTTATTTGCAAAATGTGTATATTTCTGTAATGTCATATGTGGACAATAAATTTTCAATGTGCTCATATGCATATTATGCATATTATGCACATGGATTTTACACACTTGGCTTTAATTAATTAAATTTTTATAATATATTAACATAATATAAAATATATTTTGATATTTTAAAATTTTTTTAATTAATTTAAAAATAGATATTAGAAATAATTTTTATAAAAAATATCTTAAAAAGAATATTATTTATATGATTAATACATTAAAATTTATATAAAAATTGTTATAACATAGTTTATATATTATTTAAGTTAAAAATAGAATTTCTTAATTTTTGAGCTAACTTTTTTAAAATATTTTATCAATAATTTTCTCAAAATAGATAATATGTCTGAGAATCTTATTTTTTTAGTTTATATTTTATATGTAAACATTTAATGATTGACTTTTATTAAATTAAATAACTGAAATTTTCAGAATAATCTGAAAATTGTTAATTTAGATCAGATTAATTATAGATTTCAGATCAAATTAATCTTTTTTACAATTTTTTTTTAATATTTAATTAAAATATATTATAAA